ACATTTGTATTTCTAAAAGGCTAACTTTTATAAATATTACCTTAGGAGAAAATAAAATATGTTTGACTTAATGCTGTCTATAGTAAAATGACCATAGGGACAGGTCTAAATGGTTTATTAAGTAAGAAAAATTGAACATATGAAAAATTGTTCTCTCCTAGAATATTTCTAACCCACACATGTAATTTATATCATGGCAAAATTCAACACAAAAGGTCTATTGTTTTTGGCAAAATAACTTGCAAACATGCTTAATTAGGATGCAAACTGAAAGCACAGCTTAATACTGTTGACAGCCATGAGCTTCAGACAGTGATTTCTACTACTATTATTATTATTTCACTTATGGAAACATTTGAAAAGCAGTAAATATGGAATTAGAGGACAAGGTTATTAAAGAGATGTAACATTTGAATCTTACGATTCTCATTTCTGTGTTAGCATCACAAATAATAGGCTTCCAACAGCCCCACCTTGTAACAGGAATGAAAGAAATTATTTTTGCAACAAAAGCTTACTCCCATGGATATTTGAAAAAGATGTCAGCATTTAAGTTAATCAATACCTGCTTCCAGTGGGCTTTACTTTGAGAAGTGATGCCTCTTTCTGGGGAGAAGGGATAATTCTTTATACTGACATTCCATTCCATTCATGCAAGATGTAAATGAATGCCTCCATTAAATCGATTCCATGGTCAGTTAACATCCAAAGCAGTCTTTGCTCTATTGTAGCCCCGCATTCACCATAGGAACAGCCAGAGCCTAAAAATAAATCTGAAAGAATCTAACCCAAGGCACCATTTTCAAACAGCTAATGCCTGCTTCTTCCAGGGCCATGACTTCTCGTTCTTGGTTTCTATAAATTATAGACTAAGGATATGGAAAGGGAGGGCCAGGTTACAGGACTGAAGGAGACAGAAGAGGAAGTTGGTCATATTATCTGGATATTCTAGCTATTTCACGTATTTAAATTTCAGTAATCATTTTTGAGCGGTCATTTATGTGTGACAAAACACAAGGGTTAAAGCACTGCATGGTGTAGAGGAAAGAGTTCTGGCCTCTGGTTCACTCCCTCCCCCTGTTGTATAACCTCAGATAAATTATTTCAGTAACTTCCAGCGTTGGGCCGTAACTTCTCATTTGGTTTTCTTACCTGAAAATGACAGTTATCGTGATGGGGGTCAGACAAAATTGCGGAGTCTACAAAAATGGTTTTAATAGTATCACATGGCACAGAACATCAGGATATTTCTGTGATCTCTTGAAAAATATATCTAATGGAGAGATCACCAATCTGAAGAGTTAAAAACTTTAGGGGTGGATGTCTGACCTGAGTTCTCCAGGCTTACCATTTAAAGTTCTTATTTTACCTCTATAGATAGCCTCAGAGTTGTAAAAAATGTGAAAAAGTTAACTAGGTATTCTATTTTATGAGACTCTTATTAAACTTTTCACTGATTTACTTCCTATTATAAAATTAATACATGCTTATTGCAGGAGCTTCCAACAGCTCAGAATGATATAAAGAAAAAGGACTTTCCCTCCACTGCTGCTTGTTTTGTTTCTCTCTTTCTCTCTCACTCATTCATACACACACACACACACACACACACACACGATTCCCCATTCCCCCACCCCCAGAGATAATCATTATGAAGTTTCTTTTAAAATAAAATACTTTGAAAATGGAAAACATTGCAAGACCACTTATGGATTTAAAAAAATACATTAAAGAAAAAATCTAAAATTATTTCATGCCATCAGGACTGGGGAAATCTCGAATTCCCTTGGAACAACAGAATGACCAATTACTGGGTGAGGGAACTGAAACAATAACCCTGTAAACAAATCGTCCAAAGTATACGGCTAGAGACAGCCCACGGCGAAGATGGAATAAAGCCTTCAAGGAACACCACCTCCTCCTCATGGTTAACAACTTGATGACGTTCTTCAACATGTTTTAATGATTATCATACCTTCCCCTTCACAAAGGATTGATTTATTATGGTTTAGATTTAAAGAATACTGGTTTCCCAGTTTTGAATCAGGCTTAGATTACAGAACACATAAAATCAATGACTTTGTTCTAGGCAAGAAAAAACACAGTGTTCATTTAAGTGCAAAAGGAACAGTCCTGGGGAAAAATTCTTCATGCTGTTCTATGTGCTCGCTGTTTCCACCACCTGCCTCCCCCCCACTCCTCCCCTCATCGCTGTCATCAGACCAGCACACCTAACACTTCCGTGGCACCTTAAAATTCACAAACAACTTCACATATTATTTCTGTCAGTCCTCAAAATAATGTTGTTGGGTAGCTTTTCAATATACAATAAAAAAAGCTGAAGCTCAGAGCAGTGAAGTGATTGGCCCAAGATCTTTCACCTAGTAAAGGGACACTCGCCCAGGTTTAGGATGATTTTTTTTTAAAGACTTTACTTATTTATTTGAGAGAGAGAGAGAGAGAGAGAGAGAGTGAGTGAATGAGCAGGAAGGAGAGGCAGAGGGAGAGGGACAAGCAGACTCCCCTCTGAGCAGGGAGCCCAACATAGGGCTTGATCCCAGGACCCTGAAATCATGACCCGAGCCAAAGGCAGACACTTAGCCGACTGAGCCACCCAGGCGCCCTGGGTTGTGATGACTTCTAAGTGTGTATCTCCAACTCAGATCTTTCCTCTAAAGCTCCAGGACCCACATCCAATCCCCGACCCATCTGCATTTTAGTTCCAAGTGCAGTTAAATTCAGTTTCCAGGCTGAGCCCTTAATATTCTCCCATAAACTTGTTTCTCTTTCAACAGTTTTCTTTTTCAGTAAATGGCACCATCACCGTGCTGGTTGCTCAAGCCAAGAACCTAGGCAGCATTTCTATCCACAGCCCTTTTTTTCAACATGCCTATGTATGCTCCATCACCACATCCTGTACATTTTGCCTTCTGAAGATTTCTCAAATTTGTCCACTTCTCCTTGTCTCCACCATGAACAACATAGTCTGAGGCCCTAGCATCTCACTTTGAAATCATTTCCATGTTATACCCTGCCCTTCCCTCACCACCTCCTCTCCATGCATTCTCCACTTGGCAGCCAGACTGATCAGGTAATTTCTCTGCTTAAAATCTTTTGTTGGCTTCCTAGTGCTCTTCAGATAAAGGTAAGAATCCTTAGTGTGGCCTATAAGAGCTGCTATGATCTGACCCTGGCAACTGGCAAGATCAATGACTGGTTTCCATAGTTTCAGGATATCATGATGTATTTGAAAAAATAAGTGAATAGTTAAGCTTCTGTGTTTATATAATGCATAACATTTAATGACTTAAATGCACTGATTAATTGTAGAATGAAGTTTACACTTGCAGATATTTTTAAAGCATTATTAACATATGACCATATGTAGATCTTCGTGACTTCTTTCTTAAATAGAACCAAATTCATTTTATAATATGATATGAATTAAAATATATGCCCAAATATAGGTAATAAAATATATAACAATTTATATAATTTTTTTCATTGTGTGTGTGTGATTTCTATCTGTCTCAAGACTAGATAGCCGAAGACATGGAGGCAGCAACTCTTCTCCCATGTTGTATGCAGTACTCATCTCAGAGTCTGAAAAACAGGGTCAACTTCATGCATTTGTGACTTGTGCAGTTACCCAGGGCCTGCACTTAGAAGAGCTCGGTTTATTGCCTTACTATTTGGTCTTGAAATTCTTAGTAATTTTTGAACAAGGGTCCTACATTTTAATTTTGTCCTGGGTACCACAAATTGTTTAGCCCATTCCTGCTAAAAAGAATCTCAATGTATTAAGAGTCAAACTCTCTCATGTCATTCAGCCCAAAGTATCTATTGCATTTGATTTCTGTGATTTCTCGACAGAAGGAGGGCTCTGAGGACCACTGGAGTCAGAACTGACAGTCAGTGAGGGAAGGGTGTCTATATATTGTGGTCAATCACAGATTTCAGGCCAACCAAACATAAGCTTCTACTCAATAACTGAGATTTCCAAATACAGTGAAATGTGTTTAACAACTTTGGCTAGTGGATGAGGCCAAGCCAACAGATGGTTAATGTGGAACATCCCTTGGCTTCAGCTGCTACTTAAGATAAGTCCTGACCCAGAATATGGGGTATTGCTGGGCAAAGGTAGGTATAATCAACTTTACTGAAGAGTTTGGTGGTAGCCGTATTAGAAATCTTTTTATGGTTTATAAAAATCCATCAAAAGTTTTGTACTAAGCAAAATAAAAAACTGAACCCCTGTGGGAAATTGTCTGCATGTGCAAAATGTGTCACCAGTCAGTGCTTCCAGGATCGCAATTTTCAATGCAAGCAAGCAATATGATGGTGGGGGGAAAGTGTGTTGTTATAGATGAGAAGCTGGGTTTAAAGCACATCATGTGCTACTTTTATCTTGCAGAAGTTGAAAGGCTGCTAGAATCTGTAAATTACCATTAAAATATATTTATAATTATTACTACTTTGCATGAAAAGTGATGATCCTTGAAGAGTTGGTTTACTGCTTACCCTAGTTAACTTAGGTGAATTTAAAAATTAATTATCTAGGTAAAATTTAAATTTTAGGCTGATAATTTCCCCCCAGAGCTCAAAATTTATTTAGAATATGAAAATTTCAGCTTTCTTGGGAAAGTTATGTTTCTGAGGTTAAAAAAAGTCAGTGATAACACAGTTTTTAGAAGCTTCTGTTAGTGATAAATGGGAGCATTCAAGTGTCACGGCGCATATTTCAAGGAGATGAATTTTGGTGTCAGAACTGGGTTCAAGTCTCTGCTCTTAACTACTTAACAATTTACTTGATCTTTCTAAGCCTCAGTTTCCAATTCCTAAATAGGGATAATGACACCCCATGAATAAGGCTAACGGGGGGGATCAGATTCGATATGAGTGTTCAGTGCAGTGACTAGCACATGATGAGTACTCTACAGATGTAGCTATCATCACTGATGAGATTTTTCCCCCAGGATTATAATCTATTAAATAGTTACCTTATTGACAGGAATAATGTTTTTGACATTGTAGTAGAAGCCAAAATAAACCATGTTGAAAACCCCATGACGTCCCAAAGTTGCTGTAAATCCTTTGTTGAGGCCCTGGAGTCCCAAGCCTTCCTTCTTAATGATGTGTCTTGCATAACTCATCGTGGATGGTTGCTGCAGGAGAGAGAAGCAAAGCCAGAGAGATCATCTTTGAGACCGTGAAATAGAGTAAATTACCATTTTAGCTTCCCTTCAAGCCAGAATTATTAGGGACTTTTTTTTTCCCCCAACATGAATAATCATGCCTAGATCCACGCTTTTAAAATTAGGAAGCCACAAAAGTAAACAAAATTGCATGCATGCAGGCCTTCAAGGGAAGACTGCTGATAAAAAAAAAAAAAAAAAAAACAACGAAACCACACCTTTGGTAGAATTAGTGAAACTAATGTCATGTAATACCTATCATTACTACCTACGTGTAAATAGCTGTATCCAATTCTGGATTACCCAAAATAATGGAGGGGATTAGCCATACAGGTAAACTGGTAATCCATAACTGCATAATCCAAAAGGAATTTACATTTGGTTCCTGAATCCAGCATAGCTACTTTTCTAATTATGTTTTTCTGAAGTGAATGTTACAAGTAGTCTTGATTTCACTGCCTCAAGAGTTAAACTGGCACTAGGTTAGAAATTGGGTGTGGATAAATAAAATCTTAAAAAAAAAAAAAAAAGACACCTGGGTGGCTCAGTCGGTTAAGCGTCTGCCTTTCAACTCAGGTCATGATCCTAGCATCCTGGGATCGAGCCCCACGTCAGGCTCCCTGCTCAGTGGAGAGCCTGCTTCTCCCTCTCCCTCTGCCTGCCTCTCTGCCTACTTGTGCTCTCTCTCTGTCAAATAAATAAAATCTTTTTTAAAAAAAAAGAAAAAAAAGAAATCGGGTGTGGATAGTTGTCTGTAGACTTCCTCAAGAGGGTGCACAATTAATGTGTGTATCACTCGTTGAGATAAATGACAAATCAGTGGCACTGGGAGTTGTGGGTTACCTTTAATTTACTTCTTTCCAGCCCTCCCATTGACGACCCAACCTTGAAATACCCTACTGGGTAAATACCCAGTCTATCACTACTTTTGGAACACGCTACAGAGCTCACTAGAGTTTACAAGAACAACAATTCACGTGGGCTTCAATAAAAAGCTGAATGATTGCGTCCTTTCGGAGATACGGTACAAGGGATATCTCTACTCTTAAATTTTGACTGAATAGGAAATAAGGGAGAATGCTCAGTATTTTTTTTTTTTTTTTTCCCCATGAGGTAAGCACTGATGTGACATTTGTTTGATTTTTCCCTGGAGCAGGTTGCTGGAGTGGTCTGCAGTCTGATATGCTTTCTGACTAAAAGTGTTTTCTTATCAGGTGCAATTAAGGTTGTATCAGCAGAACAGAGAACAAATCCAATTAAGCCTTTTCATCCAACTTGTATTTATAGCTATGTAATTAACATGATGCATTTAAATGAGCTTGTTTATATAGTAAATCCTATAGTTTTTGCTGATAAATGTTTTAAAAACTCTTGACTACAATACTACACTCAACTTCATCTTTTCACCTAAGAAGATTAATTATAATACGCTGCATTAAGCTTTTAAGGAAACCTTTTTTTGTAACAGGAAAAAAACACATGAGACTATATCTTAAAATAATAAAAAAACAGTTCATATAGGAAAACCAAAAATTCTCAGAAGGTTAAAGTTCACTCTCTGCTCTACAAAATGGGGCTTTTTTTGTTTGTGTTCTGGCACATTGACTATCCACACAAATTATTTTGGTTTTCAAAATAGACTTGAGGATAAGTTGAGCAGAAGTTCATTGCTGTTGGAAAGACTCTGGAAGTGCTGAGCAAACTGCCTAGGCTCTGCTCCCCTGCTCGGAGGAAGGCAGCCAGAGGGCAGATTTTGAACTCAAGCGGCTGGGTGAGCTTGAACTCTAGTTGTGAGTCATTAAGTAAAATCAGAGAGTAGCACAGTAGTTAGAAATAGCCGGTTGTCTTTCTCTGCTTGACTTATTTCACTTAGCATAATCTCCTCCAGTTCCATCCATGTTGATGCAAATGGTGGGTATTCATCCTTTCTGATGGCTGACTAATATTCCATAGTAAATATGACCACATCTTCTTTATATGTGGAACATCAGGAATAGTGTGGCGGACCACAGGGGAAGGGAGGGAAAACAGAATGGGAAGAAATCAGAGAGGGAGACAGACCATGAGAGACTCTGTACTCCCGGAAACAAACGGAGGGTTACAGAAGGGAGGGGGGCGGGGGGATGGTGTAGCTGGGTGGCGGGTATTAAGGAGGGCGTGTGTTGTGATGAGTAGTGGGTGCCACACACAACCAATGAATCGTTGAACACTAAAAAAAAAAAAAAAAAAGAACTAGCGGGTTGGAGCCGGACAGCTCCAGGTGTGAGTCTCAGCAGTCTCCCCTGCTAGCCTGGGAAAGGGTTTTATCCACTCTGATTTATCCCCACTCTACTTATCCGTAAAATAAGAATAATAAGAGGAAAAGAGAATCTCCTTATAGGATTGCTGTGATGATAACTAAGTCAATGGATTTTTGTCCTCTGTAAGCATTCACTACATATTAGCTGATAATAATAATGGCAATAGTGCTGATAATAATAAAAATAGTTCAAATAATAAAATAACAGGTAATTTCTTTGTTAGCTGAAGACAATGGCATTAAAAAGGGCAGAGGCTGATTTGAGGGACACGAAGGGCATGTATAACTAGCTTCTTCCTTTTCGTTCCTCTGTCTGTCCTTTCCTTTTTCCAGAGTTCTGGACCCTTGGAGTTAACATCCTTGGTAAGAATTCTCCACTGGGTAAGTCTGTGGGCTATAGAAGCAAGACCGCATGGGAGCAAAGTTTGGGAACAAAAAAGTCACCAACCGGGCCTTCACCTCACACAGCTTACAGCCTGGAGAGCACAATTGTGTGTGTTAACCAGGTACCTGGAACACAGTAAGTGCTCATCAATGTTAGCCATTACCACAGATGTCTGGTAGTTTACACATATCATGTGATTTATCCTCTCAACAAGGGTGTGAGATTCCCATTTGACGGATGGGGAAACTAAGGTTGTGTTACTTGCTCAAGATCACAGACGTAGTGCCAAAGCTCAAACTAAGGCCTCTCCCACTCCAAGTCCATACTTTTATAGCCTGCATAGGTTTGCCATTGTAACATATCTGATTGCTTTCCTCAATCTTGTAAGATGGGCAGCAGGTATATTTTCCTTATTTTGCAGGTGAGAAAACCAAGGACTGTTAAGTAGCAGGCCTAAAGTAAAAATGCTGGTACATGGCTTAAGCAGGATTCTGCGTCCGGTGTGGTTCTCATTCTGTGGACATTCTTGTTCTACATATGTGGTAAGAGTTTCAGAGTTTAATAATCCAATTGATACAGGTAACAGATACATCATAACCCAAATACATTTTTCTTGGGGCCTTGTGATAGAGAAAAACCTGAGTTCTTCTCTAATTCCCCATAAAGAGCAGAAGTGTGCTTTTTGCTTCATTCAGCAACATTGTGTCACACACATGTAAGCAAATATTTAATTAAAAAGGCAAAACATGACTTCCACTGGGATGCTTAAATAGGAAAATACAGAATCATTTTGACTAGATCTCGGCAAACACAAGGGATTTTACTAAACTTATTTGATTACTGGGCTTCCATTTCAAAACAAAAATGGTGACTGATTAGCATCATCAACCAAATGATTCCAATACTATCCAACACAGCAGATCACCTACCAGTTCAGTTTCTTTCCAACATTTAGATTCACTGCAATTTTCATATTTTGTTACCAGTTGTGGGCCAAATTGCATGATAACTTTCCTAGATGTACTCTTCATCGACTGCACCAGAATGCAAGTGGGGGAGCATAAATGGATTGGAATGTAGCTTATACTGTGATATCATACTGCTCTCCACACTGGTTTATTGAAATCCTCAGTTCACTGGTTCCTGCCAGAGTGTTTCCATTTGACGTAACTCAAAGTCTTTAGGTTTCATTTTAGCTAGGGCCAACTGCTAATTCTGGGAACTCTCTTTTCTTTCATGCATTCATTTCTTCAACAAATACCTGTTGTGTGCCTAGTAGGTGCCATGTGCTGTGCTAAATGCCTCATGCAGGACTTTGCTCATATTCTAGAAATTTAAATACTTTTGCTTTGGCTTTTATTCGGGGAGATAGGCTGATAATTTTTAGATCCACCCATGAGAATCTTCCACAATGGTTATAAAATATGGAATCAAATTTCTGTTTTAAAAGTCCTTAAGAGGCTTAATTAAAGAGAAGATTCTTTGCACTACTCCAGGGCACTGATTCCTTACTCAACGGAGAGTCCAGGATTACCAACAAATCACGGAGATGACTTATGGCAGCCTGAGCTATTTTGTTTGGAGTTCTTCCATCCAACTACTGACCATAGCTGGCTCTGATTAGCTTGTGAGACCACAGACTGAAGTGTAGGGAGCAGGCATTGTCTCTGAGTAAATAGCAATCAGAGTATGGCCAATAGGTAGAGACATGGGGTGTGTGTGTCAATGAATTTCCTCCATCCCCAAAGCCAGAGAAGAGCTCTAGGCACACCATGTCAAAAGGCTGCATGCTCCACATGCGTTCCTTTACTTGCTTCCCAGGGCAAGGTGAATTCTGCTGTGTTTTAGAGCCAATGGAATAGGGTGTTGCATTGAATTTCATCACATGGCTGGGAAGCAAACCGGATGAGACCTTTGCACAATGGAGTGAGTGTCCATATCTGGGCCTTCAGAAAAATACTGCTTTGTTAAAAAAGAGGAGATCCAGTTGCTGCATTTAGGCAGGAAAATACCCTGGTTCCTCAGGAGATAGAAGATCACTTATGGTTTTCATTACTCAAATAAAGTCTTGAAGCGTTTTCATAAATTTGAAAAAAAAAGAAAAAAGAAAAAAAATCCCTTCCTTTTATTTGAGAACAAAATGTAAGTGAAAGAGGAGGAATTGGGCTCAAAAATCCCACACTTACACTTTGCTTTCACTGAGATATTTCGCTAATTCATCATTATAGCTTATTCTAATAGGGCAAGATTATGGACAAAAAGACACGCCAAATACAGTTATGCTCT